AGAAAAACAGGATGAAAAAATGATCACTTTGGGATATATCTGGTTGTGGGCATTATAAAGGGCCCCAGACTAAATAGAAGCCTCCACCTTGTCATTGAGGGAATGTATTTGCAGGGATCTTGTACATAACACACCGTGTTTATAAAACTAGAACAAAGTAACATTGACAAACTGGAAGAGTCAAGTGTAAAGTAACAAATATGATCATAAAGTTCGAAACTTTCTACAAAAAATGTTGGAAGGGTTTGTGGTGTTTAGTTGTGAAAACAATATTCAAATATGGAAAAGGTCAGAAAAAGAAGGCGGCCACCAGATTTATTCTCCATATTAATTTATAATTAGATGAGCTGTAACAGGCTTATTATAGCAAAAAAATTTAGGTAGGACATTGGAAAATCTTTCAAATTAAAAAAAGAGGGGTGGTGGAATGGATTGCCATAATCTTTCAAAGCATCTCCATTGCTGGAGATTTTTAAGAATAGTTTAGACAGACATTTAAGTAGATCTGCATAGACAGTCTAGCCTCAGAGGAAGGATGAAACTGTGACTTGAGACCCAGCTGTGCCTACACCTTTTTTTTTTTTCCTGATATGAGCCAGACTATTTTTTCTAAATGTATTTCATCATTTGTATGTAATGCAACGCCAAACACATTAAAATGAGGCTGCTTAAAGTGTGTATGGAAACAAACTGATTAAACTAATTTTTATGTTTTTCCACTCATTACAGAGCTATCATGCTGAGGCAGAATACAAAATGGGAGTGTGGTGTGAATGCTCATTACGGAAAAGAAAAAAAAAAAAGAAAAAAATTAATCCAATATATCCATTTGTAATGGAAAATGTTTTCTGGTAATAAAGCTTGCATTTCCACAGTACTCTTCCACTGAGAGTTTCAAAGTGCTTTCAGAAATGTTCTTAGCACCCCTGAGGCATTTTGTGAGGTGAGACCACATAGGTGCAGCTTCATGTTGGAGACAGAAGCCCCAGAATGTCCAGTTCATGTTCTAAAACCTGCTGGCTCCCAGCAGGGCTGGGCCCTGGCCTCCTCCAGGTGTAGCTCATCCTCTCTTCTTTGTCATGCTCTCTCAGCGTCACTGTCACTTGTCAACTTGCAGAAATGTCTCTGGGGTTTTATCAACACTTAAACACGGGATACCATCCTATACGACAGGGATAAGTGTCAAGTTGCTGCCCTTTCCTGAAGCCCTCTACCAACACACCTATATGAGCAAACAAGCAACAGAGACTTGTGTAAGAGAAAGGGTAGCTGGTAGTTATTAACAGCAAAAATAATTATGTGTATATTATATATACTTATATATAAATGTACATGTATTTATATAAATAAATATATAAGAAGATAATTGTATTCCTTTGATCTACTCTCCTATGTCCTCTCTCCTTAGGACAGAGACCCAGAGAGACTTTGTATGTGTTTCCATAGCATGTTGCACCAAAGAGGCATCGATCTTGGAAAGAATCTTTCATTGATAGTATTAAATGAATAATATATCGCACGTTTCTATCTTAATGCTACAGCCACATACTCTGGAAACCTGAATTTGCATAGAGTTTGTAACCTTGACTTGGTGCTGATTTAGGTATTTAAAAAAAAATAAATTAATACTGTTATTGTTTGACCTTTTTACATGTCTGCTTTATGTTAATGACGAATACTTGTGCCGTGCAAATAGCAGTTGCTGTGTGAATGAACACTTCGTATTATTTTTATTTGGCAAGTTCTCAGAGGTAAATAAATTATAGTAAATGCGTCTGTTCATAGACAATCAGCTGGACATCAAGATAATGTCTATATGAAAAGAAGTGTTTGCCTGGTATTAGGTGGATTCACTCACTCTGAAAACTGATTTTAGCACTAATATGCCTTGTACTGCCCTCCAACACTGCACTTTGTGGTGTTGCTATCAGAGGCAATCGCAAAAAGTATTTACACAATATAGGGAAAAAACCCTCCAAACTCTCTAATACTGAGAATAACCTTAGCCAAGGATATTTCTCTGAGAATTAATAACTAGCTGGGGTTAATGGTCACTGGCTTCACCTTAGGCCCTCAATTAATCCCTGAACCTCAATTGTTATTACCTAATTGACTTAGTTTCATTTCATTTTAACATTTCAAAGTGATCTTCCTAAAATCACACTGACAGAGTAACATGGTCTCTGTAGATGCGCACTGACATGGTTTCAATATTGTTACTTTGTCTCCATACACTTGCATTGACATTTCATTTTGTTTTGACATCGCAGTGCCACATCTATGGATCTGTGCAGATGACATGTGATTGTTCAGATTAGGTGAAAGCCTGTCCAGAAGCGAGGGCAGGCTAATATCATACAGAGGGACACAATACCAGCTAAAAGCTACTAAGCAGAATTATTGTTATTATGGTGAATGATTGTTATCATTACAAACATAATTTGCATGTTTCTAAAGGGAAGAAAGGTAAAATTTCACTTGAAATCTTGCTGGTTTTCTTAAGAAACAACCAAAAATATTTGCACTTAGATCAGCTTAAAAACCTACCCAAAAAAACGCACCAGGTAATACATTTAAAAAGAGAGGGTTTGATATTACCATTTCACACTTATTTGAGGCTGCAATTAAATTATGCAATTCTTGTGCATTCCAATAAATTACATCAATGCAAGTAGCTGATTACTGTAAGACGCAACTCTAAATCAAGAAATCCTTATAAAAATAAGGCATCAAAGTGAAGTCTTTTTATTATGTGGAAAAATGTTTGAAAAGTATTTTGAAGCTCTTTGATCCAGCTCTGAAATAATTTTAGTAGATTACTATTGTATGAAACCTGTAATTTATAGTAGCTGACCTAAGCTGCTCTTTGTATAACAGCCATATATGAAACAATAGCAGGAAAGTGAAAAACACAAGGGGAACTAAAACCGCTCTGTTTATTATTTAGTTCATAATTACATCTTCCTTATTTAATCTTTTGAATCCTGGCATGTTCTTAATAATGCAGGTTCAAATAATATTTACTATACACAGGAGAGTTAGTTTTGAGTAACACATTTAGACTATCCAAACTTTGTGTAACTTGTGACCTTTCCCTAACCTAAGTGAGGTCTATTTTATACAGATCGTACTAGATAGACAGTTTCTCTATAAATGGTGAAGTTGCTGCCAAGCTCCCATTGTTAGTTAGTTCATTTTTCAGCAGGCACACTTTAGGTTCCTATCACACCACTGTAAAGAGCAAGCCCCTGAGGTTTCTTCTTTTGTCAATGTAATAAAACGGTTATTTCTGAATAACCTGCAAATCCACAACAAATGGCCCTTTGTGGCTTAGAATAACACGACAGGAATAATTTTTTTTTTTTTTGTTTTGCAGGCAGCCTCCTATTTTATTCCATAATATTAAATTAATACTTGAGCAGCATTTGACAACATATTTATAATTTCATCCCTGAAATAACAAACACATGTTTTTAACAACTGTTATTTTTGCAGAAGATCCCTTCAGAAGCTATTAAAATAGTGAGACTACTTCAGCTGAAGTAAAGGAAAGAATCAAGTTCAATTCTGCATACTTCTTATTGACCCTTGAGGAGTCGTGATCAACTCTGTAAATAAGAACAACCTGTAGGATGTACAAGCTCTTGCCAAAACGACTGTGGTTTGAAAACAGGGAGCTAGCTGTCTTTTCCCTTCTAAGTCAAGTAGATTTTGGCACAGGAGGGAAGCTAAACCTTTGACTTCAACAGACCTTCTTGTAGAAGTGCTGCGCAAGCAAGCCATAAACTTGCAGAAAGCAGGTCTCCTTAATGAAAGAGACTGCTGTAACCACTAAATTACTAATATTGGCTATGCCTACTTCCTAGTAGCACAGATGGACTCTTAACTTAGTCCTTGGTACCACTCCACCTAGTACAGGAGTGATTATACTGCACTAGTGCTCTGCTCTGTGAACTGCAGAAATGACCCATATTTCAAACCAAGAGAATAAAGATGAGCACGACAATGCTTGTCCGTTAGAGTGGAGTGTGGAAATTTGAGGACAGTCTGCCTGGTACCTAAAGCTACTATTTAAATTAAGAGTAGGAGCAACATTGCTTGAGATGGTGGGTCAGCCCAAATGCAAACAGAACTGGAAACAACACTCCTCAGATGTAGTATCAGAAATAGAAGCACGCAGGAGAAAACATAAGGCAGACTTTTCAAAGGGGAAATGAAGGCAAATGGGAGGATACTGAATAAACAAATGTGAAATGGTTAAAAAAGATGGCAAATTAAAAGGGGAGAATTTAAAGGCAAATGGAAAGAACCACAAATAGCCTTCTGTAGTAGTCTAGATGGTGAAGAAATCCAAAAGCAAATACCAGGAAAGAATGACTTTTTGAATGAGTGAATATACCGAACCAGGATGAAAATTATTCATATCAGTACTATTAACATGATAAATCAATAAGGAGGTAAGCACAGTAAGACATTTGGTCCTTTTTCTCAGTTTTAGATCAGAAGTTCTACTTCACTCTTAACTGTCTTTAGAGAAAGATTATTAAACTCTTACTAATAATGTGTCCCCAGAATATAGGAATGATAAAAAATGCTTTCCTTTTATGCTAGAGTGTGACCCACCATTGTACTGTTCCTCCTATACAAGGAAGTTTTACTTCCCTGTTCAACACAATTACATCAATTCCTAAAGCTCAGAACAGGCCTTATTACAGTGCTTGTAAGAGCAGATGCTTGGCAAGTCTATATATGCCAGTGAGAACATCATTCAGTTTTATGCATACTTCTGTTTTCTGGCTTGGCATAATTCATTAGCGCACTCTACAGAATACTCCATAAAACTGGATTTGGCTTTAATGTTAAGGTTCTAATGACTACAGCATTGTTTAAAAAAACAGAAACAACAACTCACAAACAAACAGTAGTCTCTCCTCTCTACCAATAAAGTTGATGTTTACATCTGATAAACAGAAAATACACAAATGAGGTTTGTTTACTAGATACAAGTAGGAATAACAAAGTAGTCTTAATTTTTTTTAATGTTCTGCTTTCAGTGTTTAAAATAGTGACACAGTGTAATTTCTGTGATGGCAAAGCTTGTTCAATACCATGTAATGAAATTAGTGCAGTATGTACACTTTTCTGGCTTATTTCATGCTCATTCTAATACAAAGATTCCTAAAGATGGCAGTATATAAAGATAAGGTCAAAGCTTTGATTAAAGACAGCTGTACTGCTTTCCAACCTGTTATGTCACAGCATTAGGTAAAGAAATAAACAAATACAAGCCTAACCTGATTTATCTGTATGTCCCCACATAAATTTGTTTAATGTAAAAACAAATAAAGCAAAGCTTTGATGGAGGTTGAGCAGAATTTTCAACATCTGTGCAGATAAATGTAATTTATTCAAAAAGAAAAAGCAGCATTAGTGCATCATGTAAAAGCTGATTTAAATGATTTCATACAACAGAAAGCATATGCACTATCTAAAACAAATTCAGTTTGCCCTTAAAACCAATTTCACTCAGACAACCATTACTTCTGAATTTTCTACTATGATAATGTTCAGTTATTTCTTCTTTTTTATTCTCTTCTTGATTTTATACATTCCACTAACCTAAACCACAGTTAAAAGTCCCAGGGGCAGCAACACCCCAAATGCAGCTTCTGTGTAGCATCAGGCAGGTACACTTCACAGACTGCTTCTGTTTATCTTTACGGGCAGATCCTTAAAGCTGGTCAGGTAAAATAAACTAAGCACAATCCCTTAAATAGTTGAACATAAATGCAAATATTTTTTTTTAAAAAGAAATCTTTCTATTATAACACATTCAAACCCAGGAAAATAATCTCTATGCAACAATAACTCACTGTAGTGAAGTTATACTAGCTTATCTCTGCAATAAGGGACAGAGTACTAGGAAGACTAAAGATTTTTTTTCCTGAAAATTAAAGATTAGTTAAAATTATAAACTCCTGTCCAAAACTTATCAAAAAGTGTTAGTGAGAACTATAAATTAAAAAAAAAAAACAAAAAACTGCATATGCGTCTGAAAACTACAGCTGAAAAAAACCTGAATGGGATTAATACCCTTTTAACTCAAGGCAAAACTGTAAAAAGTCTGCATGTGATTTTTGAAATCATACAGGCACACAAAGTATCACCTCAACTAAAAAAAGATGGTGAATATGCACTATAACATTTTAAAGACCCTTTCCTTATGGAAGAGGTTATCAACTTGTGCTTTAGGGAGACTGTTATCACACCTTTAATTCTACAACAGAATCCATACCTCTGCTTCTCTGAAAATCTGAACATGGTGAGCATACATGCAAAACCCTCATTGACTTTAAAAAATATTTTGTCCTTTCCTGAATGCCAGTTAGCAAAGAAAAGAGTATTAAAGAGTGTCAAGCCCAGTAAACTGCTAGCACTAAGAAACCTGTAACGGAGCACAAATCTGAGGCCCCTTCCTCTGAGTGGCGAGGAGCATGGAAATAGAATGAGATTGAACTCCTCAACATTTCAAGGAGGGCTAATGCCCACCTCAATGTACCTCTGATATTGGTGGTTCCAACAAGCAAAAAATAATGCTCTTACAAGAACACATAAGTACGCACGAAACTTTTGTCCATTCGTGTGCTTTATTTGTCTTGTGGAACCGATCCATTATGAAGCACCGTTTTATCTTTTTTTCACTCCCCTTCTTCAACATCAGGATGGTAATCTTCAGAAATAACCCTCATAGAGAACTCCTGCACATTGCTCCTTCAGACTTCAGTACGCCAGCAAATTGTCTGTTGCAGTACCTACAGGGGTCAAGACAGATTCCTTCCTTAAAGTCAGTTAAGACAAAAATTCCTAGGTATAGATTCCCTGGGGGGTGGGGAGGAAAAGACAAAACACAGTTATTTTTGAGTCATTAAACTACTTACTAAAAACCCACAAAACTATCCCCAGTCTTTACAGGCTCATATACATAAATTAAATCATTGCTCTTCATTTCCATCCCCCCCTAAAAATCTCCTAACTCAGATATTATTTTTTAGTTGTTAACTTGGGATTCTGCTGTTGATTTTAGCAATCCGATAGTGACAAAACACATATCCCAGTGATTCTCCAAAATCTGGCTATTTACTGTAACAGCCAGAACTTACATGATCCTGTCTTACGACTTAAGCTTTATGAGCTATGCATTATATTGTTTTAAGTCCCAGAATAAGTCTTTACCAAATTTCCAGATCAGCGTAGGTGTTTTGGTCAGATCACTAGTACTGAATAAACTTGCAAGTGAAACCATAAAAAGCCACTTATTTTTAAAGGTAACTCTGCAACAGGGATAACAACTGAAAGTTGCACCGTAGAGTCTCTGCGCTTTTGTCTTTGTTTAGAATGCTAGAAGCAGCCATCCAGAAGGAAGAAAGATTACGAGTATCTAGAAACTAGCTGTTTGACAGCGACAGAAATGCCGATAATGAGTGGGTTGTGTCTGTCTTTTTTGGCTGATCACAACAGAGGTCTGAAGCAAAACAGAAACTCTTGATGTGTTTGTGTAAAGAGGCAGTAGCATAAGGGCAGGCAGCAGGAGTTCAGCTGAAGTTCAGGGCAGATGCTGCCATTAGTTTACGCTGCAGGAAAGTAAAATTACTTCCGGATTTACCTCTTCTTCCCAACATCACCGTTGGGCCATGCTGTGTCGCAGAGTCACAATGTCAGTAGGAAAGCAGTCTTTTAGCAGGATACCACGTTCACGATGACAGTCCAGCTCTTCAATAAATCCGTACCAGTAGATGACTAATCCAGGGCCAAATCTGTCAAGGAAAAAGGAAAATTAACTTATGCAATTGTGTTAGGTGAACTTTAATTTCCCATCTCTGTGATTCCAACACAAGTAAATCTGCTAATTTCACTGCAAAATTGGAGAGGCTATTTGACCTTCATTTAATTTTCAAATCTTAATCAAAGTTGAATTGATACGTCATTAATACCTGATTCCAGGAATAAAAATGCTATTCAGAGACCCAAACCATCCACATCAGTTTTGTTTTTCCCTTTGAATACTCCACACATATCAGTAAAAGAAGACCTATCTCTTAAATATTAAATAACATCTAGCAACTTTGATACATACAGAAGTCTCTCTTGACATTCACTCTGCTTTTTCAAATTTGTGTGTGCAGGCATTAAAATACACGGGTTTATGCAAGTCCAATTCATGAGAACTGTAATACCACGAAGATAACAATGAATCCTTAAGATATAATCTCTACAATGAGCTATTATTCAGCTAATTATTAACATAAAGCACAATTCAGAAATAAATGGAAAGCTACTGCTGCAACGTGCCTCAGGAATTCCTCAGATATTGCTAACTCTGACTGATCCCCACACGGCAATCTCAGGAAGTAGCCCCATGGACTATTTTACCCATCAGGAAGTTCAGACCTTCAGGCTGGGTTCATAAAGAAGTAATCACTATCAATCACTGTGTACTGCGATATGTTTTGCACATCAGTTTCACGTTTTTCCTACTGAGAGCACTTAATTAAAGGGCAGCACTACTTTTGGTGTAGTGTTGCAGGAATTTTACAGTGAAATCATAAATTATGAATGTTGGGTTAGTAAAAGGATGTCTAAAAACAGAACTGCTTTCTGTAGTCTAACATTACAGCAGTCTGTACAACATTAGGCCAAAAAGCTTTTTCTTTCCTTGATTTATTATATGCTGTAGTGAACTTGCCAAAAACAACAGTACAGGATGAGCTGTTAGATACCGTCTGTACAAGAAAAAGTTCAATAGAATGTCATGTAATGGTTTATATGCAGAGCCCTGCTCAGGACTCAACCAATATGGTAGCCAGTTTTTGTTAATGTTTAATTATAATAAAAATGTGTTGGGGGGGTGCACAGTAACCTAAATGTCCACTTAGCAGACAATACAAGCACTCAAAACTGTGGGTAGTGCCAGACTGGCTTCATTAGGGTGGTTTCTTTCCAACAATGGAGGGAAAACTCTATTTGATGTGCTCATGTAATGGAACAGGCATCAAAGGGAGAAGAAACCCCTGTGGCTTCCTCCTGCAGTTTCAATTAGATACGGTAGTCTTTTGCCCGAAACTGCTGCATAGCGTTGTAACATTTTGGTTTATGGCTACTGCTCTTCAACACAGAAGTGGCCGCAGTTTAGTGGCAAAGTAAATTACCCCTCGGCATAGCTGAGGCCACACTGGCAAATGTGCTTTTTGCAGCTGAAAGTGGAAAGGTTAAAACTCTGACAAATCCAGCTGTACTAGCTAACGTATTCAAACATGTTTATCATTGAATAAAGCACAGACTAAAAAGTGGCTCATAGGGAAGAACAATGATGCCTGCACCTAACTCCTAATTTTTCTCTGGCTGGCAGACAAATTCAGCATTTACTGTCTCTAAGGACTTCTCTCTATTCTCCTTTGCTTAAATTCATGTGGGGCCAAGATGTACGCGACCTCACTGTACCACAGAGGCCAACTAGCCTAGCGGTAGCGAGGAGAAAATGCCAAGTGAAGCGAAGGAGTGATGCTCAGTGCCTCCAGTGAGAGGCGGTAATTTGCTGATGCTGATGGGCTTACTTTTGTTATTTCATAGACTACGTATCTGCTCCCACATCAACCAAACAGAAAAGGGATAATTGGGTGGGGATGTACTTATGTACCAACCAAACTTATTTTAAAAGCAAAAATCCCCAGAAGATAGGGAGCAGACCTTACATTTTTAATGGGCTGTTTTATGCAAAGCAGAAGCTGTGAAATGTACACAAGTACTTACTATGAGTGCATGTGCCAGGTAAGATATTGACGCTAATGAGAAGCTGCTCAGCCCAAGTTTTGAAGGGCTCATTTTGCTCTGCGTGTCAGTCTAAGTTCCTTATCTAGCGTAAAACACATGGGATACTGTGCCTAAGAAATTTGTTAATTTATTTTTTTAAATTGTAATTTTTTAATAAAATCAATATTTTGAGACTCCTCAAAAAGGCTAATTTATGTCTTTCCAGCAAATCATCACAGCTCAAGCACGATTTTTCAGGAATATTTTGTGCTTAAAAAATTATGTTCAGAAATGCCAAATTTGATGATAAAATTTATATACAAGAACATCTGCGTATTGTTAATTGCAGGAGCAAGTACATCTTTAGTCTGAAAACATCCATCAATCCTGCTTTTGAGCGTGTTATTATAGCAAAACTATTTGCCCTGTGCTGCCTAGGTAGCACTTTTTTCCACTGTGTTGTGGCATTCCGTCTATTATAGCTCTATATCACACAGCCCATATGTATGATCACATAAAAAACATACCATACTTTTGTTTAAAAACACTTAAGTGCAGTACTTAAGACCAAAATTAACTTGTTGGCACATTAAACATTTGCCACTGACTATCAGAACTCCTGCTGCTAAGTGCTAATTTCTCTCTCATTAACGCTCAGAGTTGGCAAATCACAAACAATGCCACTGGTTAATTACTGCTGCCTTAATTTGAAAAGACACTTAACCTTTTTGTGTAAGGGGATGAGGTAGGGAAGTGTAACCTAGAAGTTAAGAACAATCCTTTTTAATTTGATGCCTTCCAAATGAAGAGCACGAAGAACACCATGAAGAACAAAACTCAGTGCTGTGAATTACAAAGTAAAGCTACAAATTTATACCTGCATCAATCATAACATTTAACAAGTTAGTGACTAACCCTGGTTTACACGGGAGAATAAACAAAAATGACAGAATGCTTACTTAGTATTGCTATGGAAAGGGGACTCATTTACTAGCTCTGAGGTGGAGAAAAAAAACTTTGCAGCAAATGGTTCTACATGTTCTAAACCTATATATGTAGGGTATGCAATACAGGCCAGGTTATTCCATTTCCTATGAAAGACACACTGGAAAAATTTTAAGCTTAAAACAAAAACCAAGCTGAGAATGTAACAAACTATGGATGTCTATGGATTTTGTTCTTTCTCAGAAAAAAAATTATAAATGTGCTTAACTTGTATTTTTCTTCCCATCTTTAGTTCTTACCCTGAAAAGTGTAGGTATGAAGGAACATGGCCAAAAGTTATACAAAACTGTAGTTTTACCTATTCCAGTGAAAAAATTACTTTTAGAACTTTACTTTTATATGGAGTTTCTTTTTAAAGCTGAAAAGAAATCCAGGTAACTAATTTTGTTAATTCCATGCAGTAAAAATAGAATAAACAGGAAATAGAGAGGCAAACTTCCTTCAGAATACAATAAACATAGCAAGTGAAAATTGTCCACATAGGTTGCATCAGTCAGAAATTAACCAATAAAGATGTAGTTATCATTATATAAATCCTGGTTTAGTAATTTTCTAGTTTTGACACTAGAAGTTGTGACTACAAGGCAGACAAAGCTGCACTTCAGTGCAGGGTCAGAGTGCCAGAAGTGCCAAAAAGAAGGCAGACAGGGTTATGGCCCCATGGTGTGGCAAGAAGAGAGCAAGATTACAAAAGCCTAGAGAATAGTTTAGGCCTAATTTAAGCTTGATATAGAAGACTAAATTTAATCTAAGTACTAAGGGCAGCAGATGGTGTCTTTCAAAGAATCAGCTGAAGGATTTCAGTGTTGTTCTTCAGGGCTCAGTGTTGGGACCATTTCTATTCAACATCTTTATTGATGATCTTGATAAGAACATAGAGTGTATCATCAGTAAGTTCTCAGATGACACCAAGTTAAGCAGGAGTGTCGATCTGTGTGAGGATAGGGAGGCTCTACAGAGAGACTTGGATGGATTGGATCGGTGGGCCAACGTCAACGGGATGAGCTTCAACAAGGCCAAGTGCCAGGTCCTGCACTTGGGCCACAACAACCCCCTGCATCACTAAGCCTTGGGGAGGTGTGGCTGGAGAGCTGTGTGGAAGAGAAGGCTCTGGGGGTTCTAATTGACAAGCAGCTGAACATGAGCCAGCAGTGTGCCCAGGTGGCCAAGAAAGCCAACGGCATCCTGGCTTGTATTAGAAATAGCGTGACCAGCAGAAGTAGGGAGGTGATGGTCCCCCTGTGCTCTGCACTGGTGAGGCCACACCGGGAGTGTTGTGTCCAGTTTTGGGCACCTCAATACGAGAGAGATCTCGAGGTGCTGGAGCGAGGGCAGAGGAGGGCAACGAAGCTGGGGAAGGGCCTGGAGAGCAAATCCTATGAGGAGAGATTGAAGGAGCTGGGACTGTTCAGTCTGAGGAGGAGAAGGCTGAGGGGAGACCTCATCACTCTCTACAGCTACCTGAAAGGACATTGTAGAGAGGTTGGTGCTGGTCTCTTCTCACAGGTGATTAGTGACAGAACAAGGGGAAATGGCTTTAAACTCCAACAGGGGAGGTTTAGACTGGACATTAGGAAAAAATTTTCACAGAAAGAGTAGTTAGACTGTGGAATAGGCTGCCCAGGGAGGTGGTGGAGTCACCATCCCTGGATGTGTTTAAGGGCCGTTTGGATGTGATATTGGGGGATATGGTGTAGGGGAGAACTTTGCAGAGTAGGGCTGAGGGTTGGACTCGGTGATCCCAAGGGTCTTTCCAACCTGAATGACTCTGTGATTCTGTAATTTGAGATAGATGCTGATCTGAGATAGTAAAGTATAGTTTGAGTATAGTTAAATATATAGTTACAGGCTCCACAGGGCTTTAGATAAACTTATGTCTGATCATACTCTAAATAAGTCAGTTTTGCACTGATTTAAAAGTGTTCAGAGGATCTTTTGTAGTGGTTTAATGACACCAATTTTGAAAGAGACACATAGTTAAAGGAGTATAGATTTGTATAAC